TGCTTCGTTTTTCACCATCTACCATGAGTTGGGTTCTCAGAATAAAACAACTGAGAAAACAAGAAGCTTTCAATGGAGGTCAGCTTTCTAGCTAACTTAAGCTTGTATCCTTCAATTTTCACCATCTATCATGAGTTGGGTTCTCAGAAAACAACTGAGGAAATAAGAAGCCTTCAAAACAAAAGTGTAAATTACTAATTAATTACAGTTTTCGTGAAACAGTCGCATTGCTTTCCACTTCTGTTAACCTTGGAGCATGCTAGCTAGAGATATGAGATCTCTAACTTCATATTAGTAACTTATCGAGTTCTAAATAAACAGCAAGTACTAACTATAATTTTGATGTTAACCCATTCATTTAACTTTACAAAAAGGATGTAGAGGAACAAGAGAAAGGATACAAGAAAAGCCTGCAAGTCTATGATGCTCTTCTCAGTGAGAGAGAGAGAGAGAGAGAGAGAGATTGGAAGGGATGGGATGGAAGGAAAGAATGGAAATTTTATTCAGTTATATATTCATTCCAAAATGATGAGAAGATAAAAACTCTTCTCTGGTTCTGAATAAATGATCACCAATCCACACTTTCTCCATCCATCTAGTGCCCTTCAATCCTCTATGCACGTTTCCTTGCGCCACGCGTCCTACTTTTTACCCAAATCTGACAGAAAACTGCCTCATTAATGGTCAACCAGACAACAGATCAATGCCAAAAAAGGCAAAAGATACCCCTCTCTACTCTCCCTGCCCACGTTAGAATATCTCGACCATAGATCCTAACATGCGCCAATCCAATATCAAAATAACCCAACAATCTCAACTGGGTTTGCACTAAAATAATGCATATCTCTTCAGTCCTCACAATCCAGTTGGGTCTCCTCGTGATCTCTTCCTGTCTATTTCACAGTAGGGATTATTCTCTGGTCAAAAGATAGATAGAAGAAACACAAACCCTGGGGTAAATATAACAATACAACCTACAGTTAATTCTTCTGAACTTCTCTATTTGTCCTAACAAAAGATTCATCTCTCTTCTCTATCTCAAATTTGACTAGGAATAGAAGGAATAGAAGGCAACGCAGAAGCTTACAAGTTACAACACCTCCACCCTCCTTATATCCTCTTTTGATAGTTTGATGCACGCAAACCCCAATGAGAGATGATGTGGGGCTTTTACTTTCTGACCCAGAAATGGGCATAGAAATGAGTTTGGATTTGCTTCTTATAGAGCGTGCTTCGCATGGACTTCACAACATGCCTGACCGCACAYCTGGAACATCTATCCTATTTGTATTCATTATTTATGGGAAGAACAGATTCCAATTCCATAAAAATAATAATAGTCGTAAGATTGTTTTCTTTTATTATTTTATAAAAGGTAAAATCTACACATGGACTTTTGTCTTTATCTCTCATGTCGAGTGTTGATTAAGTTCCAATCTTACAAAACAAATATATATGACCCTTAGGATGATGGGTCCCCCTTTGAATCAAATCCAAATATATCAAGTGTGGTAGCTAGCTAGCTAGGCAAGAATTTAAGTCATTTCAAACCTTTGGTTCATGATGAAGTTTTTAGAAAATTTCAAACTTTATACGATTTTTTTAATAAATTTGATCATTTGATAACTCTATTAATATTTCATCGATCATATATTTCTATCTACATCATTAATTTTTATTATTTTAAAATTATGTTAAAAAATACAGCCAAAATTAATACAACCCATGTTTTTCATTTGTGTCGGTGGTTGTCCAAAATCAAAACTTAACTGATATTTAAAACCAATACATATGTAGAAAATGATCAATTAAGCCTACACACTCTAATTTCTTGCATGCCTCATAAATGCATTGTACTCCACACATCTAGTACAATTGTCCCACAACACAGTATTATTCCAGATGTGTGGTGTTAGATGGAATCACTCAACAAATAGGAAATTTGTAGATTTACCCTTTTTTCCTGCAGTTTTTACTTTTTACTTCGAGAAAATTACTGTGTTCAAAATATTATTTTTTAAAAAATATTTGTTCACTTTATTTTGTATTTTTGTCTCATGTGACCATGCAGATAGGACCACCTCAAAGTATTGAAAGATAAAATTACAATAAAGTCTTGTTTGGTCCTAGGATTTTGCATAGTACTGGACCAGTTCTTGTGGACCAGTTGAGTAGAAGAAATGAGAGGGGTGAAGTATAAGTTAAGTAATTAACTGTAAATCAAGGTTCAAAGTTTTGATAATATCAAACTGTATGATCGATATGTATTGTGTTGGGGACTTCCCAATATGCTCCTATAGGGATGTTTCAAAGTTTAACCCAGTTTATTAGGGGATAGCAAACAGGTCTTAAACTAACCCCTCTAAATCAGGTTAAAAAAAATAAAATAAATAGGGGAATGAGACCCGATACAGTCCAATACGCTCTTATCGGCATATCAAACTGTATGGATATTTTGAACGTTGCTATAAATAATGAAAATAACAGTCTCCTTGATTGTGTCCATGAGATATTGGGATTCCTCAGCCGGTCTGACCCATAAAAGCGATTTGACCTCTCTTCTTCTCGCCTAGTCTCCTGTCGCTTTTGTGTTTCTCTTTCTGTGGCTTTAGGTGTGCAAGAGCCAAAATTACCCTCCTTGCTGAAAAGGATTTAAGCCCACTGAAAAAAGTAAAAGCCGTGGCCGTGACTTTAACCAACTTACCCTTTCTGTCTTTTGTCGTTTAGGTTGGAACAGCCAATGGTGGGTCCATAGTCATGATGATTTGAATACACCCATGTGACGAGATCACACCTCCTCCCCACAGCACATCCCTGATTATGTATGGAACATCTCCTGATTATGTACCGATGATATCATCACCGGAAGATGTTTCTAATACAGGATGGGATGTGATGTGGGGCGTTGTGGGGCAATTCCTTGTGGGGTGGAGATGTGAACTCCCATGTGATAATTTGTAGGCCTCCAATTCAGTGGACCCCCTAAGCTTCCTTAATCTCTTCAGCAGTTCAGCCTTTCCAATGTCCTTTGTTAACAATATTGAGAATTTGAGATATCAAGAGTGAATGTTTTAGGTTATTCTCAGACATCAATCTTAATAGTTAGCAAATAACCCGTTTGTGTTCTTGAATCTCTTATTTCCATAAATTTGCATTCATTAAACATTATTGGATCTCTTTATCGGATGTTATCTTTATTGGTTTATATAAAAATATCAAATTAATTAACCAAAATATCCTATATATTTGCCATAGATCAAATTGTTAATTATATACCAATATGTTAAAGAATAAAATAGACCTCTCCTAATAGCTTAAGCTTTTAAGTTGAATGGTTTCTTAAGATGGTATGAGAACCTTCTTCAATATTCATTCTTGGCCACTCCCATTATAGTTAATTAAATTTTAGCACAAATATAGATGAACTTATACTTGTCCACACCTTCAAGTTCCATAGGATTTAAATAAGGGAGTGTGTAGAGAATAAAAAACCTATTCAGAGACCTCAACTAACAGCTTAAGCTTTTAGATTGGAAGATTTCTTGAGAAAACAAATAGACTCCATTTGTTTAAATGTAAGATGCATAGTCAGAAAGTTTGCCATACTAAAAGTTTTGAGCTATCTTTTTAACCGGAAGCGTTGTTTTCATTGACATTTCCATGAGAAGAAATAAGAAAGAAGCCCTTATACCACTCAAATATACTTCATAGAGACTTCAATATTTCTTATATATTTGTTTTGTAATTCTAAAAGATGATAGTGAGATCCTTGACCTAACTCGATCACCCCTTTGTGAGCTTGGTCAATGGTTGACCCTTGTCTATTCAAGTTGTTCTTTCTACCAAAAGAAACAGATCCACAACACAACCACAAAAACACAAGATATGATTAAGAAAAATGAGTTTATCTCATGCTAGGAGTTGTCCTATACAAACCCAATTCCAACACTAGTTTCTTCTTTCTTTCTTTCCTTTTTTGTTTAAACAGATTCAACCTAACTTAACACCGTCCCCCTCTTGAGACGAGATCGGATCTGTTCCTCACACGCACATCCTACCATGCATTAAAAACATCTCACATACTTATTAATTATTATTCACGGGAGATGTTTTTCAATGCACGGTGGATGTGACTGTGAGGCACCCATTCGTGAGGAACAGATCCCGCTTCTCTTAAGACCAGATCTATTAGCCTCACACCGAACGTTACATACACATCCTATCATGCATGGGAACATCTGGCATATTTATTCACGGTGGATGTTGGATGCATGGTGAATGTGATTGTGAGACGCCCATTTCTGACACTGTACATTTTGTTTGCATGTGATTCAGACTTTCATGATTTGGCATCATCCCCCTACCAAACACCGTACATCTTGCTATAAAAGTGGGGCTTCTCATAAGTGGTGAGCCAGTGACAGATGTTAATTATTAGGAGGGGTGTATTTCAAAACAAACATATTTTTTCCAATTGTACAAACCAGAAAAGATTTAGGAGGTGGACTGAACACAATAAAATCCCCATTTATTTTTGGGAGAAATACCAATCGTCCAAGATCAGAATTTTCTAGGCCCAAAGTACAGGGGAAATGCATCCTGACCGTGAATTGATGCCAAATTCACGGGCAGGATCTGGTTTATAGGAGGGAGGGGGGGGGAAGAGCTAGTAGTAGGGGTGGAATTCAGAATTCTGCATCGTGTGTATCCATGCTTCTCCGTCTCAAGATAAGTGATGAAACCATTTTTAGTTGATTCAAGAAAATAGTCTTATTCCTGAAACCAACTAAAAAAAATACTTAAGAAAAAAAAAACAAATATGTGTTCATTTTTAAAAGACTAACGTAGATTATTATTAGGTTTTTTACGTATACACTAAAGTTTCTTTAAACCCTCTTACAATACAAGTGGAGCTACAGAGTATCCATATATGAATTACACCAACCCACATTTAGGGGGGTGTTTGCTACAACGACATGCATAGTGTGTCACTGTTGTATTTTGGGTTCATCACTAATACAAATTTATAAGAAATATAGATTCCGTGTTTCAATTATATTTTAATGTTTTAATTAAAAATAATAATTTGTATTGATCAACTCAAAATGTTTTTAAAACATTTCAAATAAAAAAATCTCTCTCTCACAAATTTGTATTAATCAAGCCAAAACGTAAAGGCAATACAATGCCACTGTACTAAACAACTCCCTTAAATGGGCTGCAATGGGATAATCATATTTCATTTACTTAGGCTCAGCTTGTAAAGAATATAAATACAAATATGTATAGTACAAATACATATAAAATAATATAAAATATAAGGTTTTACGCTCTACATATTTGTATTTGTACTCCTTCCAAATGGAGCCTTAGTGAAAATTTTCTTCAATAAATTTGCGAAATTGAACGCTGCAGGTCCAGGTTGTTCCTCAATTGCATACGGAGCATCAGAGGAGATTGGTCCGTTTCGGATTAATAAAGATGGTTCATCTCTTTATCTCAACAAGTACTCCTGGAATAAAGGTAAACCCAATTACACTAATTCAAGGGCCTTGGCTTAATAAGCAACGATTGGCTGATAGAATAAATTTTAGAGATGTGGAAGGATGGCCATTCTTATGCTATTAATTAAATTCTATTCTCAGAATTTCAACGAAACTTCTCTCAGATTTGTTCTTCTCTTATATATGTTTGGCTTCAGAGGCAAATATTCTCTTCCTTGAATCACCCGCCGGTGTGGGTTTCTCGTATACCAATACAAGCTCGGAGCTTAAACATTCCGGCGACAGGCGCACCGGTAAAACCTAATGTTAAATATGTATTTTTCTTATTATAGTAATCATCACCATTATCGATTATGTAACGTCTACAGTTGCCAATTTTGGAATGCAGCTCGGGAGGCTTTTCTGTTTATGGTAAGATGGATGACAAGATTTCCTCAGTACAAATATAGAGATTTCTATATTTCTGGGGAGAGCTATGCAGGTATATAGAGTTACTATTTAGGGTTTTGCTATTGCCACTCTCCTTTTTTCTCCGCCCACTCCTTATTAGGAGAGAGAGATGTCAAAACAATTTTGAGAGGGAGTGAGTGGCAATAACATCCAATTACTTTATCATGTTTAAATTATATCTTAATCCATTGATATTTGCATTATCAATGGTCCAGAGGATCTAAGTTGCACCAAAATTGGGGTTGACCAAATGTCCACTTGGGTCTCCGGTGAATTGGGTCTTCAGATAATACCAGCTTAACCTGGTTCATTGAACCAGTCAACCCAAACCCAAAACAGCAGGGTGGGAGGGTTTTGTATATATCTGACAAGATTTGTCGCCCCCAAAATAACCCATTAATCAATTTCAAAAGTATAATTAATTGTTGTTGTGTATTTGTAGGGCATTACGTTCCACAGTTGGCAAAGAAAATTTACGACTACAACAAAAATTTATCCAAGCCCTTCATCAACCTCAAGGGATTCATTGTAAGTTAAATGCATTCCATGGTTTTTGTCTTTTAGATATTACCTACAACATAATATTAGTCTTTGTTAAAAGCAGTGTTATCGACCCATCACTGATCCAGTCAATCATACCAGTGATCCGATTAAAATCCTGGTTTGGGTTAACCTCTATTTCTTTATATCACAAAAATCATTGACTCGGTCAGTAATTCATTGACTTGAATGGTTGAACCATTAACCCATCTGACCCATTCAATGCGTGGATTAGCGGTTGTTTGTAATATTTTTCAAGGTTTTTAAAATCGGACCGGATAATAAATTATTCAGGGTCTTGTTCCCGGGTTGAATGGTCTGATCATTCGAATCGAATGGATGGCCCGTTTTGACAAAAAATAAAATTTAAATAAAAAATAAAAATGGCCAAAACTGTTGTTTGGGTCGACGATTCGAACGGTTTGACAATCCGGGTCAGTGGTTCATGACCAAATCAATGGTTTTTGGCCAAAAAACGGTTCTGGGATGAAAAGAACCGATCAGGTGGCGGGTTCCTGGTTCCCGATTCTTCTAGTCTGACCGTACAGTCCGGTCTGGTTTTAAAAACATTGATATTTTTATTCTTTAGAATTTATTCAATGATATCATCATGAGTTGACTGCTAATTATCCGGATGATTGAACCACTGACCCCATATTGAACCGGAGGAAAAAGCGGTTAAACCTCCAAATTAACCGAGTTTGAAAACCCTGGTTAAAACCTAGTCATGACCAAGAAATTGATTAAGTCCAACTATTGGGTATTTATCAAAGGACTGAGTTCCCTCTAGAGAGTCTAGATTTCATTGACATCTATATATTGGGATTAAAGAATTATTTCAAATGGAAACATATATGTATATATACAGGTGGGAAATGCTGTAACAGATAACTACTACGATGGCATTGGAACAGTGTCATACTGGTGGACCCACTCGATAATATCAGACAGAAGCTATCATTCTATACTCTCACAGTGCAACTTCACAGAAACTAAGTACTCCTCCAAGTGCGATAAGGCAATTAATTATGCACTGAACCACGAATTTGGTGATATAGATCAGTACAGCATCTACACACCCATTTGTAAAGCATCTAAGAATACAACAAGATCAATCAGGCTCAAGAACACCCTCCTGCATAGGCGGGTATATGGATACGATCCATGTACAGAGAATTATGCAGAGAAATACTATAACAGGCCTGATGTACAGAAGGCCATGCATGCCAATGCCACGGGCATTCCCTACAGATGGACTGCTTGCAGGTGTCTTTCTCTTGATATATAGTAACCTTCTTCAGCTTTTCTCTCCATAGAAATGCAGAAACTATATATAGATTAATGCTAGTATTCCTAACATGATGAACTTTCTCTTTTTTTTGGGTGTCCATTCAACAGTGATTTTTTACTCAAGAACTGGAAGGATTCTCAGTTTTCTATGTTACCCACTTACAAGGAGCTAATGGAAGGTGGCCTCAGGATATGGGTTTTCAGGTAAATCAATGACCAGCCTCTTTATCAGATTACTTAGTTCAGTGTCAAATTGAGTAAACTGCACTACTTAATCATCCCTAAGAAACCTTTTGTCTATTGGGTCAATCAATGGGTCTGCTGGAATCTGGATGTCTATAAGTCTAGAACTAATTAATATGATCGATTGTCCAAAAAAAAGAAAGGTTTTATACACTTCAGATCAGACAAGCATGCTTTCAATGAGCAAGAGATCAGTTTCCACTTCCCTGCCTCTCTGCCTTAATGGCCTACAGTCCTCTCTCTCTCTCTCTCTGGACTGATCTTACTATGTGGCTACGTGCACCAACTCTCAGACATTCCAAGGCATCATATCAACCCTTTCTGTTTACGTCTGCATGGCTGTTTTAGAGTTCCAAAACAGATACATGCACACAGTTAGTATCTTAACTGTCTAGCATTTTCAATTTTTCCAGTCATGGTCAAGGCCTATTACCTCAAACCAGCTAGACATCCTCTTTCCCCGGATGGTAAGCATTGAAAGGTCTGATCTGACGTGCATTAATGAAAAGAAGAGATGCTCAAAACTCAAAAGAAAACTTTGAATCTTTCTGGTTACTGTATTTAGTACTGCACCGTCAAATAGACATGCAAGAAATGCAAATTCCAGAGCAAATGTTAGGTAGAATTGATACAACACTGACGTGAACTAGACGTGGGTTTTCAAATTTTCTGTTGGTCCTATTTAATTACTTCAGACGATGACAAATTAAACTTTTCCAAAAAAATTTGGGCCAATGGATTGACATTCAAATCCCCGCATCACCGCATGTRTAAATTCAAACAACAATAAAGAAATACAATTTGGGTAGGACTTGTTAAATCAGTGATTCAATTCTGCCTCCATGAGAGAAGGAAAAAAAGCTTGACTTCATTTTTTTTGTGTTCACACTTCAGAAGCACCCATTATATTTATCTCTGTAATTTGGTAGCCTAGAGAACCACAGCCCTAGCATTAGCTGGAGGATGTGACTGAACATATTAAAGTGCTTGAGGACAGTATGTTCAGCATCAATTGATCATTAAATGTATGCCCTTCAATAGAAGAATTTACAGCTTACGATGCTCATTCTTCATCCTTTGATGCAGTGGTGACACAGATTCAGTAGTTCCAGTAACTGCCACTAGATTCTCCCTTAACCATCTGAATCTGACTGTAAAAACTCGGTGGTACCCATGGTACTCAGGTGGCCAGGTAAACAAATTAAAAATCTTCTATCAGTGACAGTAACAGTAACAGGTCTCTCTCTATAAACAAATATTGATCACTGAACCTGTATTTTCCTTTTCTGTTCATCAGGTTGGAGGATGGACTGAGGTCTATGAAGGGCTGACCTTTGCCACAGTTCGGGGGGCCGGCCACGAGGTTCCACTCTTCCAGCCCGAGAGGGCATTGACTCTCTTCCGTTCATTCTTGGCTGGTGCAGAGCTACCCAAATCCTAGCTAAATTGTTTCTCATAAAATGGGAATGAGGAGATTAATAAACACTCATAGCAGGCTATTGCGTTAGCCTGGAAGCATCAAAATTAATGGAGCTGCTTTCAGTTCTTTAATGCAGAATCAATACCCATAAAATTTTTGGGATTAGAGTAAGATAAATTATTCATTCAAGTTGTTTTCAATGCTACATTGGTAAAACAATTTGATTTCATTCCTACACAAAATGAAAGTGTAATCAGTTCAGCCAAGAAATGGAATTAATGCAAGTTCGTATAAATTTGAAGATAATCGGGTTGTTCTCCCCTCAATCCAAGAATTTTGGATTACGAGGCTTTGTTTGTTTCAAGGTAAGATGGATGTCAAGCTTTTTTCGAACTGCAATACTATTTCAACCATTTTTTCACCCATTAAATCTTCTTTTTTTTTCTTCATCTACAACAAAACAAGTCGGAAACATAATTGGGTTTTTGCTACTTAATGCACATCCAACTTTTCCAAGGGTCAGGTATTCCATTAAAGCATAGGCCCTTCTTTTCATTGATTCACCGATGCTCTGACGATCAGAGTTCATGAGCATTCAATATATGTGGCCAAGCCTCAGACTCTCAGTCAACTTTCCTTGTAATTATTGAAGGTGCTCTTAAGTTCCCGACTGCTCTAGCTTTTTCCTTCATGTTCATCTCTCTCTCTCTCTCTTCCAAAATTAAGTGGGAAACAAATTTATCATCGAAGGTTCAAAATTGTAATTTTTGTATTTCACTTCAATTCTAGTACCTTCCAAGTAGCCCCAGGCCCCCACTCATTAAATTACTGCTGAATTATGACCCCATGTGAACCATTGAATCCTGTTCCAACTTCTTTTTAATATGAAAATTTAAGTATATGCCCATCAAGTTTAGGGTATACACTACACAACTGATATATGATTATACTTGTCAGTTTTTGGGCTGGGGGGCATGATACAGCAATATGAATCGATACAGGAAGTTTACGATGCCTTTAATCCAGAAAAATTATTAGATGCATCCATCAGGGGTATTTCTGGGTTTTTTGTTCATTTTCAGAGGTCAAGTGACCATTCCCCTTAATTGTTCTAACATATCCTAAGGCCATATCGTTTATGAAATATTTCTTAGGGGCCATTTCATAGCAGTTGAAGTGGCTGAACTGAAAACTTTATTGTTTTGTCTTGTCTTGAATAAGTTTTCAAGTAGATTGTGGGTTCTTAGGCCCAAGTTGGATACGTCATTATAACCTTAAAATTTTATTATTTAATTAATTTATAAACTAAAAGTCGAACAATAAATTTTTAGTTCAGCAAATTCAACTATTAACAAACGGCCCCTTAAAATTGTCTTTATAATAATGTTTTAAAAAACGATCCAAAACCAGAACTGTTCTAGCCACCGGTTTTTTGGTTGATGGTTCGACTGTATGATTCGAATGAATGGCCCGTTCTAACAAAATAAATTAAAAATAAAAAATAATTAAATTTTAAAAACGGCCAAAAACCGCTGAATAGGTCAACAGTTCGACTACCCACGTCAATGGATCATTGACCGATTTAACGATTTTTGGCCAGAGACCGGATTTGGAGTAAAACGGAACTGGTTGTTTGGAAAGTTCCTAGGCCGAATGGTCAGACCTTCCAAGTCAACAACGCTTCAAAAACCACGCTTTATAAATCTCTTTGCACAACTATACTTTAAACCTGACTTGGGTGCTAATTGTTGGTGAAAACTCCCTCGGGTTGAATCCCACATTCACCAAGGTTAGTTAGTTGGGGTGGGGAATTGTGGAGCTTAGGGTTTTCCAATAGAGTGCAATCAAATCAAGATTTAATCAAACAGTTTGGGCTCAAGTTGATTTACGCTTCATTCAAGTTTGAATTGAATTCAAGTTCAATCTTTAGGCTGCATTTGGAAACGATGCAAATGATGTGTAAATCCCGATTCAAGGTAAATTTGTACTCTAGTTCACTTTTGCCTGTGTTTGACAATATTGTATTTATGCATTGACAAATGACAAAAACACATTTTCCAATGCATATTTACATTGATAATAAGATGTAAAAATACATTAATAAAAAAGAAGTAAATTTACATTCAATTGGGTTTTTGATAACAAAAAAGGCATATGCTTTATTGGAATTCATATTTGCATCCATTACAGCTAAAAATCTGTTTGGTAAGAAGGTAAATTTGTCAGTGCAAAAAAATCCCAACTTGGCAATTTATATGAACCATTTTACACTCTACATATTTGCATTCACACTTATTTGCATCGCTTCTAAATGCAGCCTTAGCTTTTGAGCCAAATTTTAGTATTTTAGTCAAACGGAGCCAAGAAAGACTGACCCCCCCCCCCCACCCCCCGGCCCTCTTGTGTAGCTCATTTGCACACAGCAAACCAAATGAGTTCAGTATCCATTGATGATCAATAAAATGACAGTTCACAATGAATCAATGACATGGCAACCCTCCTATGAATGCAACCTCCGTTTCCCATGGAGTACACAATTTTTCAAATATAAGACGCCATTCATCACACAACAGGTACAAAACCATATCACAGTACGTCGGTACCCTTGAGCCTTTCACATTCAACAATTTGAGGTGAAAACCAATACGTCAGCATGCCAAGTTTGAAAAAAAAAAATATTTGACCGGGATTCAAAATGTAAACCCTAGTAAGCCTTCAGCAATCAGAAACTTTTCATGTACCAGTACCATAATGGTGGGTACAGTCGTACAGACGTCCAGTCCAATCTATCCCATTTACACATACGCAATGTCGTTGAATTCAAGCAAACACAGCACAAGGATTAAGGAGCCTCTCAAATTCTTGTACCTTTGTGTCAGTTTGAAATAAAACAAGTAAATGTTGGCCTAATTTTGGTTATACCTCAATTCGTGCTTCCCCGTAATTAGCTTCTATCGCATCAAGTCAAAGCATATGCTTCAGCTCAGCAGGCTAGCATTTGAGATAAAGGTCTAAAGTTGCCACAACAAGAGAGCAAGAACTTAATTATTGAATTGATGTAATTATAACCAAAAAACAATATGTATTCAAGAAACATGTTATACTCAATACTTAAATACTTCTAGCAAGGACAAAGATAATGGTCTCCATTGAAGTAGATGAGATACCCACAGTATGGTCACTGTTTATGACCATTTTGATCCAACTAGTATACAAAATTGAAGCTCACGGAATACCGTCTTCATTTTAGGCCTTCACCAAGGCCTGATGGCATGCCTAAACTTTGTGCAAGATTATTCATCCTCTCCTTCATTGCCTGAACAACACAACAGCAAAATTTTAAGCTCAACAAAGGAGAATTGCAAATTTTGGTTCAACTTCTTGAGGATGGGCTATTTCACCTGAACACTTTTCTGGTGGGCATCTTTGTATGCTTCTGTGACCAAAAGTGACAGCTTCTGCATGAATAAGGAGTGGTGTCTAGTAAGTCTATACTTATATATCTTGAAGTTCACTCTGAAGCATTTAGAAAGTGCAGTTTGAATACTTCATGAAATGCCATAAATGCCCAGAATTAAGAAAACTTAAGAAAAGAAAGGCCAAAGAAAAATCTGATCTCCGACTGGTTTACAGGTATCTATCATATGAATGCAGGATAAAAATAAGTTGTGAATTGAAACTGGAAATGAAAATTAGTTTCCTGCAATCTACACCTAACTAGTAACATAAGGTGGATCTTTAAGAAATTGTTGTCCACAAGCCTCTTAGTGAAACCACTCAAACCTGAAGAGTCTTGTAGGGAGTTCTTTTTTTTCAGATGGGTAGCACAGAGCTTCTAGAAGGAAGATGAAGATAACATGATGTCCCGAAATGCCAAGTGATTAACAATGCATACTTTGGCTTTTCTGCCCAAGAAATAGGAAATCCATCAACCATGCTTTCTTCCTCATATTGCCATGATATTTCTGTGTTTCTTTGCGGAGTTTTTTTCTTTTTTTAGCCTTAATTGGATTGCTCCAGCCTCCAGGTAGCACAATGGATCTTCCATGACAATGAAATTTGGGGGATGGTGACATGGTGTATAATGGATAATTGTTCTAGAAACTCGTTCTCTAATATGGTGACAATGGAATAAATGTAGAAGCTATATTTTCTTTTCTATACCACACTCCCCATTATTTGGGAAAAAGGAGAATAATTTCCTTCCTTATTAATGGTCTAACTGTGAATTGAGGAGAGATCTTGTAGCTATTACCAGCCTCTCCTCAGTAAGGCCAAGAAGCACATAAACTGGATAGATGATACAAAAGGATTAATGGTCTAACTGTTATATTGGCAAAAAGTAGGGTCAGTAGAGAAGGATTGTACAGTGGAAATTTCCATGTTACTGAAAAAAAGCTCCATGTCAGCATAGAACTCTTTTTCACTCGTGATCCTTCTACCTACATTATACATGTAAATGTAATTTAACATATTTGAAAAAAAAGATTGAAAAGTTGAAATTTGGTCAGGACTGTGAAGTTCCAGATTTTCAATAATGTAAATAATTTACTCTTAGGTATTAATTATAGTAATAGAATAAATCGTTTAAAATACTACTCCTAACTCTTAGAGACAGCCAATTCAGATAACACAATGTCAAGGTACAAGAATATAAATTCCATAATGGAACTCAGTTAGGGCAGTGATGAAGGTCGATACAGGCATAGGACAATGCTCTGCACAGCCACCAGTTGTTATCATCATCATCCATGCCTTATCCCAAATATATGGGGTCGGCTACATGAATCCTGCTTCACCAATTCTATTTAAAGTCATATCCACTGTTAAAATTTGAGTGATTAAATCATTTCTTACTACCCATATCCTTTTTGGTCTACCCCTAGCTCTTAGTCCCTTCCACTTGTAACAAATCACTTCTTCTAACTGGAGATCTTGGTGGCCTTCTATGCATATGACCAAACCATCTTAATTTACTCTCTTTCTCATCCATCTTAGCATTCGCATTTCTGCCACTCATTTTCGGGACATGTTTCTTGACTGACCAACACCCTGCTCCATACAACATAGATGGCCTTACAACTGTTTTTCTGCTACACCCTGCTCCTATGTCCTATCCAATGTTTTAAAACGCAGAGACGTGACGCGAGGCATTCCACTACCTAGAGGCGTGAGGCATAGTTCAAAACGCAAGAGGTGTAAGCCTCCCAAACACAAGGAGTACGCCTACTTAAGAGGAGGGGGGGTTAGGAAGATGAAGAGGATGGGGGGATCTCATTTTTTCTTTATTTTTAATAAAAATCTTTTATATTAAGAAGGATAAAGATGCATAACATTAGTTGAAAGGGGGGTCTTCCCTTCCCTTTCCTTTCTTTCCTTTTCTCCTTTTTTCTTCTCTTTCTTTTTCTTTCCCTTCCCTTTCTTTTCCTTTCCTTTCCTTTTTTTTTCTTTTTTCTTTTTTCTTTTTTTTTTTTGTCTTTTTATATAAGATGTGCATGAGGCGCATGAGGCGTACGCCTCTAGCACACCTCGTGAAAAAAGCGCACGAGGCATACGCCTCTTGCACCTGAGGTGTACGTCTCAGAGGTGTCAGCACCTCTGGCATACGCCTCAGGGCGTTTTGGGAGCGCCTCGCCTAGAGCCCACGCCTTTTAAAACACTGGTCCTATCACACAAAAGTCCAGCTGCACCCCTCCATAACCTGATTTAATCTTTGGGTGGCATCCTCCTCAATCTCTCCCTTGTTATGAATTATTGAACCAAGGTACTGGAAATGGTCACATTGAGGTATCTCTTGGTCCAAAATCCTAGGGAAGGTAATTGTTGAGTTCTAACTCATTTTGGGTAGTTTAGGAAAATTTTTAAAATTAGTCTTTCAGTTGTACTCAAATTATGACCATTGTTACATATCAACCCAAAGACTAATTTTAAAAAGGGTAAATTTCTTAAACTACCCTTATGGTTTAGCTAATTGACTAAGTGCACCCTTACTGTTTGAAAATTGACTAACACTACCCCTACTATTTTTGGTAATTGACTAACTCTACCCTTATTGTTAGCATCCGTTAACTTTCCATTACATGTGACATCATGTGACTTATATATTTATTAAAAATTCCTAAAATACCCTTTCCACTTTCATTCCTAAAAATACTCTTTGACTTCTGTTACTAAAATACCATCCCTAAAACCTTCCTTCTTCATTACTTCTTTATCTGTTTAAAACAAAAACCCAAGAGCAAAGATGTCGATCTCAGTTCCGACGAAGACATCTTAGTTCCAACATTCTCAGTTCCGACGAAAACCCAAGAACTAAGATCTATCCTAAGGCTGAGATCTTAGTCCCAACATCCTTAGTTCTGACGAAAACCCAAGAATCACGCGATACCCTCTCTCTTAATCGCTACCATTGATCCCGGTATAACTGGTTGTTCTTATTGCTCTTGGATTTTCATAATACTTGCTCTTGTTTTTAACACCTTTTCATTTCAAAAAAAAAAAAAACAAAACAAAAACAAAGAACATTGAAGATGGATTACTCTGACAGAAAGCGGTGGTGCTCTACTGAGAGAGAGAGGGATGTGTACCCCCTCTGGTTTCGGCTGCAACCAAATCAAATTCCGACGGGTTCTAGAGAAGAGAACAAAACCCCAAATCAAATTCCGACAGTTGCAACCAAATCCCTTCTACAGAGATGTCGATCTCAACTCCAGCGAACAGAACGAGAGTGTAGATCTCAGTTCCGGCGGGTTCCAAAGAAGGGAATGAGAGGGAGAGGGAGAGATCTACAGAGATGTCGATCTCAGTTCCGACGAAGAGAACTGAGTGTAGATCTCAGTTCCGACGGGTTCCAAAGAAGAGAACGAGAGGGAGAGGAAAAGATCTACAGTTCTAGCCGTAACTGGAATCTTACTGTTTCCTGATCTACAATTCCTACAGTTCTAGCGATTTCGAGAAGAAAACGAGAGGGAGAGGGAGAGATCTAAGAGATCTACAGTTCTGGCAGTTCCGGCGGTTCTAGAGAAGAGAACAAGAGGAAGAGATCTAAGAGATCTATTGTTCTGGTGGTTCCAGAGAAGAGAACGAGAGGGAGAGGAAGAGATCTG